GAGACCATGGCCCAGCCTCGAGGGTGGGTCCGGGTGCACACAGCAAGCCTTCTGCTGGAGAAAAACAGGGTAGGCAAGGTATAACTCCAGCCTGCAGGGGACCGGGGAGCGCAGCAGCCTGGCGCATGGTTCTGGCAGGCCTCCAACGTTCCCCAGTCCCAGGCAGCAGTGTAAAAAGGCTCCCCAGGGCCTTTGCCTGCTGGCCGCGGGTCCCTGTGTGTGCAGTAGCTCGGGGAGTGGCCCAGGCGTGCAAGTGGTTCTGGCGGGGTCATCACGGCGACTAAAAGCCACTGGGGCTGGGAAACTCGCGACGCAGCCCAGCAGCAGCTGCAAATGTGGCTTTAAAAAATTTTTTTTCTATTTATTTTATTGCATTTTAGGTTTTGGGGTGCATGTGAAGAACATGCAAGATTGTTGCATAGGTACACACGTGGCAGTGTGATTTGCTGCCTTCCTCCCCATCACCTACATCTGGCATCTCTCCCCTTGCTCTCTCTCCAACTCCCCACCCCCCCACCGTCCCTCCCCTATTTCCCCCCAACTGACCCCAGTGTGTAGTGCTCCCCTCCCTGTGTCCATGTGTTCTCATTGTTCAACACCGCCTGTGAATGAGAACATGGGGTGTTTGATCTTCTGCTCTTCTGTCAGTTTGCTGAGAATGATGGTTTCCAGGTTCATCCATGTCCCTACAAAGGACACAAACTCATCGTTTTTGATGGCTGCATAATATTCCATGGTGTACGTGTGCCACATTTCCCCTGTCCAGTCTATCATCGATGGGCATTTGGGTTGGTTCCAGGTCTTTGCTATTGTAAACAGTGCTGCAATGAACATTCGTGTGCATGTGTCCTTATAGTAGAACGATTTATAATCCTTTGGATATATACCCAGTAATGGGATTGCTGGGTCAAATGGCTTTTAAACCCAAAGCGGCAAGCGGTTTTTTTCTTTGGGTGCGCCGGCTGAAAGGAAAGAAGCGGCTGCTGGCTGTCAGCCCCGCCCGGCTTTGGGCAGGCCGCATCGCCTCAGGGTGCAGCATTCTCATTCAAAATTCGCCTTAAGAAAGCTCTCGCCTTTCCTTAATGCAAGAGGCTGGTTATCGCAGCTGGTTAAGTTGTAGGGCCTGCACCTGCAAGGTTGCTCGTTCAAATATCTGGTGGAGTCAGTCTTGATTTGAGGAGGTCTTTTGGATTTCCCAATTCTACCCATTTATATACATGTTTATCCTTATGCTAGTACTACACAGCCTTGATTATTGTACTTTGTAGTAAGTTCTGAAATAGGGAAAGGTGAGTCCTCCAACTTTTTTTTTTTTTTTGAGATGGAGCCTTGCTCTGTCGCCCAGGCTGGAGCACAGTGATGCCATCTCTGCTCACTGCAACCTCCACCTCCTGAGTGCAAACGATTCTCCTGGCTCAGCCTCCCGAGTAGCTGGGACTACAGGCACACACCACCACACCCATCTAGTTTTTGTATTTTTTAGTAGAGACAGGGTTTCACCATGTTGGCCAGGATGGTCTTGATCTCTTAACCTCGTGATCTGCCTTCCTCAGCCTCCCAAAGTGCTGGAATTACAGGTGTGAGCCACCACACTTGGCCAACTTGGTTCTTCTTTTTCAAGATTGTTTTGACTGTTTTGGGTCCCTTTGCATCTTCATATGAATTTTAGGATCAGCTTGTTAATTTCTACCAAAAAAAAAAAAAAAAAAACCCAGCCGGGATTTTGATAGGCATTGTGTTGAATCTGTAGATCTGTGAGGAGTACCACCATCTTAACAATATCAGGTCTTCTGGTCAATGAATACAGGATGTCTTTCCATTTAATTAGGTTTTCTTTAATATCTTTCAATGATGTTTTATAGTTTTCAGCATGCAAGCCTTGCACTTCTTTTGCTAAATTCCTATTTTATTCTTTTAGACACCATTGCAAATGGAATTATTTTCTTAATTTCATGTTCAGGTTGTTCATTGCTAAGTGTATGGAAATACTGTGGGTTTTGTATATTTATCTTGTATCCTGAAACTTTGTTTATTAATTCTAATAGGTTGTTTTTAGTGAACCCTTACGATTGTCTATATATAAGATCACATCATCTATGACTAGAAATAGATTTACTTTTTTGTTTCCAATCCAAATGCTTTTATTTCTTTGTCTTGCCTAATTTTCCTGGCCAGAACCACCAGTACTATGTTAAATTGAAGTGGCAAGAGAGGACATCGTCCTCTTATTCCTAATCTTAGGGGGAAAATATCCAGTCTGTCACCAATAAATGTGATGTTAGCTTTGTGGTTTTCACAACGTTATCAGGCTGAAGAAATCTGCTTCTATTCCTAGTTTGTTAAGTGTTTTTGTCATGAAAACATTTTTGTCAAATGCTTTTTCTATATCCATTGAGATGATCTCTGGTTTAAATTCATTTTCAATTAAACAAAATCATACTACATTCTCTTTGTAAGAAATGTATTCAGTATACATAAGACTAGAGTCTCCCTAGTTCTTTCCCAACAATCTCAAGGTATTTGCTGTTGTCAGAGTACTGTTTCCTTTTAGCTAATTTCCTATGCATGTATGTGTGCATGTGTTAAAAATATACAATGTGCTTTAACAAAAAATGGCATAATAGTGTCAAATTAAATTTGGCTTAAACCTGCCTCCGTGGATTATGAACTGCAATCTACGAGTACATTCTTTTAACAAGTAGCTGAGTCTCAGCCCATCACAGCAGATAAGCTTCAGTCAGTTGCAGGCTGCCAACTGATAAGACCACATCCATATAAGACAGTGCCGAGCTGTAATCAATCAAGGTGTTTCTGGATGTCATTTCCACTTTCTGGTGCCATCTCTGCTCACTGCAACCTCCACCTCCCGGGTTCAAACGATTCTCCCGGCTCAGCCTCCTGAGTAGCTGGGACTACAGGTCTATAAATGAGGCCTGCCTAGGTTGCTGGGTAGAGTTCTCTGATCCTCTCTCCCAGTTCTGAGTGCTGTCCAATTCATGAACTGTTCTTTGCTCAAATAAATTCTGCTAAATTTGTCTAAAGTTTTTCTTTTAATAAGGTATGTACACTGTTTCCTCTCCCTGGAATGCCCTCTTGGTCCCAGCTGACATACCAGTGCCCACCTTTCCTTTAAGACTGACGAAGTCCCTCTTTTCTGTGGTGCCTTCTAAGGTCATCCATACATCAGACATCTTTTCCTTCTAGTGATGGCTTAAAATCATTCCCCCTTTCAGAGCCCCCTTTGGTTATGATTTTCGCAGAGGAGGTGTTTAGATTTGAACAGCCTGAAGTTTCACACAGTATACATTGATACCCCCCTAAACATCTTTTTTACACTGGGGCACATTTATAGCTATTGTATGATGATGATGCTATAGCTATAGTTAAATCTGGAGCCACTTTGACATCTTTTTATATGGCAATGTTTGTTGGTAGGAAAGGGGGAATTCAGTTGTCTTGCAGACTGCTTTTCCTGCTGTGTTCATAGCACTAAGAATGAGTCCCAAAGTTTCTTGTATGTGGAAGGATGAGGGTAGGTGGAATCTTACCATGGAAGAATCAGGGACAGAACAGTTCTCCTTTTACTGTTACCTACTTGTTACATCCTGGGCTTCTGGGTATGATTTCATTTGAAATAAACAGCACACACCTGTTTGAAGGACAGGCTTGAGAATGACTATTCTTTTGCGCTTTGCTCTTACCTTTTTTTTTTTTTTTTTTTTTTTTTTAATTGAGGCAGCATCTCACTCCATTGCCAAAGCTGGAATGCAGTGGCACAATCTTGGCTGAGTGCAACCTCTACCTCCTGGGTTCAAGTGATTCTCGTGCCTCAGCCTCCCAAGTGGCTGGAATTACAGGCATGCACCACCATGCCCAGCTACTTTTTGTATTTTTAGCAGAGACAGGGTTTTTCCATGTTGGCCAGGCTGGTTATTTTGGAGACAGGGTCTCTCTGGGTCAACCAGGCTGGAGTGCAGTGACACAATCTCCACTTACTGCAACCTCTGCCTCCTGGATTTAAGCCATCCTCCCAGCTCACCCTCCCAAGAACAGCTAGACTACAGATGTGTGCCATGCAGGCTAAGTTTTGTATTTCTTTCTTTTCTTTTCTTTTGGCCAAGATGAGGTTTCATCATGTTGCCCAGGCCAGTCTTGAACTCCTGGGCTCAAGTGATCCTCCCACCTTGGCCTCCCCAAAGTTTTGGGATTACAGGCATGAGCTGCTATGCCCAGCCAGTTGCAGTAAAAATTCTAAATCATTCTTTAAGACTCACTGTACAGAGAATCTTATTTCTGAGGTCTGGATAGTAAATATAATAACCTGTTTCTAACTTATCTAAGGTTTCCCCTGGACCCTCTACCTCACAAAAATTCCCCATTAAATCAAATACCATGGTTGCATATGAGTCTTACCACATAGGCTCTCCAGAAAGATTGAATGTAGAGGGCTGCTTCCTCTTCTGTCAGCAGGAGGGAGAGCGGGATTGGTGGCCGCGGGCTGAAAAGCAATAAAATGGTCATACGCCTATGAGAATCCAGTCCTTCAGCCTTGGCATTGCCTTTGACAACATAATGGCCTCTCTGATTAAGTGCTTCATCCATCCCCTTTCTTAGCAAGCAACAATGTCATTTTAGATAGAAAAGTGTATGCTTGACTTAGCATTATTTTAAAACACTGGGATGGATTTTTTTTTGGAAAAACAGCATAATCTTAAATCATTGTTAGCCTATTCTTCCTTTGAAGGACTCACGCTGCTATATGTGCATTTTAGTCCAGAAGGTGCAACATGCATGTTATTGACATAAGACTATTTGATGCAATGCAAGAGACAGAGGAGCAGCTGCCTTCATGCACTACAGTATGACATAATAAAACGCTCTTTCTCTAACTTTCCATTGACACAAAGGACTGCAGTTCATCTCTTTACTGAAAGGAATATTAGTTTTTATCTCTGATTAGTGTGCATTCCAGGTTAATGTGGTTTAAATTCAAGCACATTTTTAAGTTCTGCTGCTGTTACAGAAACATCAGGGGTTTGGTGTAGCTCTTGCTGCTCACCACACAAAATGCCAATCACTGAGCTGATGGGTCTTACCAAGAAAGAAGGCTTTAATCTTAACTGAGCTCTACAGCCGAGGAGGAGATGGGAGATCAGTCTTAAATCCACCTCCCAGACTGAAAAAAACTAGGGGTTTATACAGCAGGGAAGAAATGGGACAATGTGTAAGAAAACAGGAACTAGGGAGGAACAAGGAACCAGTCATGATGCATGAAGGCTCTGGGATCTCATTGTCTAGATGTGGTGATCTGATGAGTTTCAGTTCTTTGATACTTCCTTTTTTTTTTTGAGAGGCCTGGGGGGGTCCTTCCCTGAGGAAGGAACTCACATAAATTAAGTTTTAAGCTTTAAGACTAGAAGGGTCCATTTCTATGTTTATCTGAAAACAACAAAACTATGGGACGATTTGGTTTCACTGCTTCATCTTAGTAAGAAAATACTTCAAGTGCTGGATCTGTTGATAGTGTCTGCTCTTGTGGGAGTTTTTGTATTATGGGATTTTTTTTTTAAATCACAGATACCACATTAAAAAATCAAGACTATATACTCTCCCCGCCCCTAAAGTTTAACAGAGGCACTAACCTATGACAAGGTCTTACAAGTCTGTCTTAATTCAGGTTCTATGTTTCCCCCAAAGCAAAGTACAGCTATTTCTGAAAAACAAAAGCCAAGACTGTTCAGATATAAAAGAAACCCTCAAAGGACGTAGATCACATGGAGGCTGCTCCCAGTATAACATCCCCAGAAATGACTTTGCAAGTAAAGGACTCCCAAGTGCCCTGGCCTACAAACTCTCCCAAATAACAGCTAGAGCTTAGAGTAACTCATGGCACAGACAGGTTGACTAACCTGCCCAAGGTCACACAGCGGTAGGTGGCCTAGTCAGGATCTGGGCCCAGACCCACATAATCCCGAAGCCCAAGCATCCCTCACCATAGAGTGCTGACACACCAAGCCCCAAATGGGCAAACACATGCAAATGCCCAGCCTGGCACAGACCACAAGCTAACTGGCAACAGTGCATAATTCTCCAGGATCCATGGGTTTTATTTCCCTCCAAAAACTCTGACTCAGAAAAAGAAAAAGCTTAATATAGTATATTTGTTTGGATGAATGAATGCTCTTTTGAATTATTCCAGAACCAAAGAAATCAAAGCCACAAAGAACATAGAGTTTATCAGCACCATTTCTAGTGAGTGCAGTGCTGTTGTCAGGCTCTGGTTTTCCAGCTGGACAGGTCCTTTCCAAGAGACCAAGTAAAGGTGATTCTTCCATTTCTTTCTTTCTCTCTCTCTCTCTCTTTCTTTCTTTCTTTCTTTCTTTTTTTTTTTTTTTTTTTTTTTTTTATGAAGTCTTGCTCTGTCACCCAGGCTGGAGTGCAGTGGGACGACCTCGGCTCACTGCAACCTCTGCCTCCTGGGTTCAAGCAATCCTTCTGCCTAAGCCTCCTAAGTAGTGGGACCACAGGAACATGCCACCACGCGCAGCTAATTTTTGTATTTTTTGGTAGAGATGGGGTTTCACTGTGTTGGCCAGGCTGGTCTCGAACTCCTGACCTCAGGTGATCTGCCCACCTCTGTCTCCCAAAGTGGTAGGATTACAGGTGTGAGCCAAAGTGCCCAGCCTGTTTTACATTTTTTTTTTTTTTGGAGACAGTCTCTCTCTGTTGCCAGGCGCCAGCCTGGAGTGCAGTGGCACGATCTCGGCTCACTGCAACCTCTGCCTCCTGGGTTCAAGCAATTCTCCTGCCTCAGTCTCCCAAGTAGCTGGGACTACAGGCACGCTCCACCACGCCCAGCTAATTTTTGTATTTTTTAGTAGAGATCGGGGTTTCACCATGTTGGCCAGGATTGTCTCGATCTCCTGACCTTGTGATCCGCCCACCTTGGCCACCCAAAGTGCTGGGATTACAGGCGTGAGCCACTGTGCCCGGCCTCTTTTACATTTTTTAAGTAAATTTTTAATTTTAACTGTAGAGACAGGGTCTCGCTATATGGTCTCCAACTCAGCCTCAAGCAATACTCCCACCTTAACCTCCCAAAGAACCAGGATTACAGGCATGAGCCACCCGCTCAGCCCAGGCTCCCTGCTTTCCACATTAAATGTCTCTCCTCATCCACTGTCCTGATTATCTGTATCTCGGTTGTGTGACACCAACAAATCATATCCCTGAAGTAATTTCCCTTCACTAGTTAAAATTCAACAGCTTCTAGAGAGACCTTGGTGTTTATAAGGAGACCTTGGTGTGTTGGCAGTGAATTCATGGGAATGATGCGCTAATGCATTCTTGCTGTCTATTTACTGAGAACTTTCTGGATCCCCTCCCAGCAGCCTTGCTTCTCATGCTCCAACCCTGCAGGTGTCACCAGTAGAGGGTCGTGACTGTAAGTTGTCCAGGTTCTTGGTGTTTTGAACAAAGAATTGTACAAAACACCTGGCAAGGCAAAGAAAGAATGAAGCAAGAAAAGAGCGAAAGCAGTGATTTACTGAAAAGTACAAAAGTAGACCCCACAGTGTGGGAGCGAGCCCAAGCAGCTCCTCGGGCCCTCATACAGAATCTTCTTGGGTCCAGATAGCCCCTAGAACTTTCCCATTGGCCACTCCATGCTCACCTCATGTAAATGAAGTAAGTGGTAGCCAGCAATGAGTCTGATTGGTTGCAGAAAGCAGCCAACCAGAGGCTGAAGTGAAGTTACAAAGTTATGCAAAGACTCGCCCACAATTGGTCTATGATTGGGTGGTCTCAGGCACCCAATTTCCCATCTGCTGCACAGAAAATCTTGGGGTTTGCAAAGGGAGTACCCTCTGATTTTTTTGTTACTTAGGGGTGGAAAGTTAGGGGTTTCCTTTCAATTTAGTTCTAGGGCGTGAGACAGCCTTAGGTTCTCTGGCCGCAGACCCTATTCTCCTGCCTCACTGGCACTTGACAGCTTCTCAAATGTGCCGTGTTTCTCTGACCTCAGGGCCTTTGCTAAGGTGCTTCCCTCTGCCTCCAGTATCCCCCTACTCCTAGCCAGGGGCACCCTATACAGAGGTCCTGGTTGTTTTCTGCTCAGGGCACCCAGCAGTTGGGCCACAAGGGTGCTAAAACCCAGCACATGCTCTGCTCCTGGGTGTGTGGCCACATCTGCCCTAAGCTGAGGATATCTTTTCCTAATTTGCTGAAATGTACCTTGGGGCTGGTGCGAGGCCTGACACCTCTTATTTCTGCTTCTGATCTCCATTCAAATGTTATTGAGGTGGGGAACCGTGGCTCACACCTATAATCCCAGCACTTTGGGAGGCTGAGGCGGGTGGATCTCCTGAAGTCAGGAGTTCAAGACCAGCCTGGCCAACATGGTGAAACCCCATCTCTACTAGAAATACAAAAATTAGCCGGCCGTGTTGGCGCATGCCTGTAATCCCAGCTACTTGGGAGGCTGAGGCATGACAATCGTTTGAACCCAGGAGGCAGAGGCTGCAATGAACCAAGATGGTGCCACTGCACTCCAGCCTGGGCAACAGAGCAAGACTCCATCTCGAAAAGAAAAAAATGTTATTGAAAAATGTCCTTTGATTACATCAGGGCCCAAGGAAACTTCCTGTCATTTTCCTTCCTGGTGCTTGGCCCAATTTTGAGATAGAAGCCCTTGTGATTATGTAATTAATGCTCAAATCTTCTATTGATCTGAAAGCTCCACAAGGTAGGCACTGGTCCTGTGTTTGCTCCTCTTGGTGTCCCCAGCACTTAGGACACTGGCACGTAGTAGGCACACTCAACAAATACTTGTGGAGTGAGTAGTGGCCTCTGTGCCCGGCTGTGGGTTATGCACTTTCTACCAGTGATTTTGTTAAATCCACACAACATGAAGAATGAGTTGTTGTCCTTTGTTTAGAGTTGAAAAAACTGAGACATAGAGGGGTAAAGGGACTCTATGTTCAAGGTCTCTGAGCGTTTCCAGCTGAGAATGCGAACTGCCCAGGAAACAGTGGTCCAGAGAGAAGGTGGGGCCACCTCACAAGGTCAGTAGCATGGAAGTCAGGGTCTGGCAGCTGATGAATGTTAAGCAGAAGAAATCACAATCATTTGCTTCCAAGAAAAAAAACATGGGGACACGGAGGGTGCAGAATCAAAGAAAACACCCTCTTTGTTGAACCTTACAGTAATAACTTGGCAGATACTCATTCATCTGAACCTCTGCAGGGAAATCCCATGTCAGGAACACCAAATAGAGTAGAGTTTGTCACTTGTATCGGAGGGGAGATTCGATAGCGCCTTTCTGTACAGCAGCCATTTTCCTGCTTTAAGCGTGTTTTTCACAACTCATGTTATGAAATCCTCAAAGTAACAGTATTCCTGTTTCAGTATAGCAGTAGGAAAACAGAACTGCAAATCTCAGCACACACCCGGTGAGCCCAAACAAAGGGCTTTCAACAGTAATGAAACCCTGAACCGCCT